TTTTCTTTCTATTTTAGGTGAGTTGATAATGCGATGTACCACAATATTTTTTACCGTAAGTTGAACAAAGATTCCATAGAAACATAATTTTTTTATATTTGGGAGTGTAGAATTCCCCGAGTTCGGTGGAATTTGAATATTTTGGGGGAATCGGGGAATGGCTTTATATTTTGGGTGAATTCAATATGTAAACGCTTTTGATTTAAATATTCCTATTGAACATAAAATTGCATTTATAAATTAAACCTTGTGATAACAATATCTCATCACGTTGTTACGGGTTTGAAACATTACGCGATTGCCTCATGCAAAAGTATCCACAAATTGCAACCGTGCATAGCAACACTTTTCACTTTTTCTCGTTTTGTTTGTTTTTAATAAAAAATGAAAACTAAAAAATAAAATTCAAAATAAAATTGCTTCTACGCTAATTGTTCATCCCAAATGCAAACAGGTCCTTCTACCAGGATTGAAAGAATCAGTCACTCACATTCTCGAGCTGATTTCCTTATCAGCCACAGTTAGTCAGGCTGCTGATATAGAATCAAGGGGAATTCATATAAGGCAATAGCGGTAGTATAAAAACAAAAACTACATTTGTGTATGGTTTTCGCTTTCGGTACACAAATGCCAAATTTCAGCTATTCTTCACATAAGGAGGAAGAGGGAAAGAACATTCCAACACTCTTACTTTCACATTCACTCATAAGAAGTTTTGACATCTGTGTACCGAGGCGAATTGAAGCAGTTGTTCTGGCAACACCACCTTGTATGAACTGGCCTTGAATAGAATGTAATTTGGTAATATTTTTTTATTTTTTTTTGAAAATATTTACCACTACAAAATCTGTATGTAATCCCATCTGCTTAGTGAAAGCGAACAAATATGTTGCTGGACCGTCTGAGTTACCCCAGTAAATGCTTAGCGATATATTGAACCAATTTCATACGATTTCAAGGCCCAAAAGATGAAGCTATAACTATTTGCGGACCAAGGAATACCTGTATTTCTCTAGCCAATGGTCAGATGCCTTGAAACTTGACATCGTGGAACCTTTTTCGAAAGGGGAATGATGGTACACTATCCCGAGTCCCATTTTATGTCACACCTAGTTTCATTTATTTTGAATCTGCAGGTCGTGTTTAGGGCTTCCCTCGTATAAAGCTGTTGATGGTAAGTGCGTCAGTGTATCAAGACCAGGCATTGTAGAGAAGGCTCCTGTATAGTACACGACTGTTGTCTTTGAAGTTTAACAAGCGGACTATCCACTCTATTAGTTGGGAGTCTGCTCCACCTTATCACTGACGCATAACTGATAATTAGATGACATGTTGATTTAGAGAATTCACCTTCATAGTAGATCCCATGTTTTGCCAAAAGTTGGCTTGAAATGCAAAAATGCCGCCAAGATCTTGAAGGTCTTATACTGCGACTTCCATCAAAATCTGACATCCAGAATTCCTCCTAGATACTTTATTTCGTGATACTGAATTGTGAAAGAAAATTTAACCATACAATCTCCCCAACTAAGAGGAGATAGCCAGAAACCTTTTTGTTTACTTAGCGGGGAGTCCATTCCCTTCAAACTAAGTGGCAATCATAATTAGTACGGTTTGCGCTTTTCTGAAAACAACCGTGGGAGATGGATCCGTGACAAGCCTCGTGCTTGGTCATCTGCAAAGGCTGGTGTGAGAATCAATTACCAGACCCAGAACAAAAAATTGAGCTCGCCGCCCTGAGCGCAGTTATTCGCAATGAACGAATCCATTTTACCAGCGTAGTGCCTATTTAAAGCCTTGGAGCCGAGATGAATATGCCCCAAAGGTGTGGTGTGAAAGCGCCTACGAATACGCAACTAACTCAGTTTCAGCATCCGATCTTAGGGAATGAAAGGGGATTGTCATTGTAGCATTGCTTTTATTAGGATTCGAGAAAAAAATCTTAAATTAAGTAGTCTTGCATATAGTATTCGGCTTAAAACGCCAAACTGAGACTTAAGCTTCCAACTCAAGGAAGTAGTAACCAAATTGGTAATTAACTGCAATCAATTGGCAAAGTGACATTTCAATTGTGAATTACTTCAGCGCTGTAAAGCTGTTATGTCACACATCAGTGGCTTTCATTTTATTGATGAACTGCTTGATTGACTGCCGGGAATCATCAATTTGAGCTCGTGTTAATACGGCGGCTGGTTGTTATTAGGCAAGCAGGCATTGCAGAGCAAAAAATAAAAAAAGTCAGACTAAAAATGAACGCTTCGGTGCATGCGGCGTTAACGGATGGCTGTTGCTGTTTGACGATGCCATAATTAATCGATTGGATACACAGGTCGTTGAGCCGAATTCGAATGCTTTTGCGGACATTCCACACACCGGCGGCAGCGCTCTGTTCCTGCAATACCAATTTGAGTGAGTGGTCGCGCAAATGCGTGCTGTGCGTACGGACACAACGCGCGGAATATCCCCTCTGGGTATGGATGGCTAAGGCAATGGCTAATGAGACGAAAGCAAATATTTATTGCAAATATTTCTAAATTCGCGCACGCGCTACTCGATCGCGTTGCGAATGCGCCAAATATCGCAGCGCCACTTCCTTTTTTGCCTTTATCGCATGCAACACTTTGGCAAAACGCGGATTGCTGCTATGCCATTTTGGATGTGTTGCACGCATGTTCGCAGCGTTTTTGTGCAATGCTGAGCGGTTGGCCATTCACACTTTCACTTTTTCATTGAATTTGGCATTTACGTTGTATGTCGTAAGCCAATGACAAAAATAGGATTTTAATTAATGACAAAGAAATTGCATCAGCGATTTTCATTGCAATGTGGTCGCTTTTCGCTAGAATATTTAAGGCTCCACTCTGATCACTCTTCAATTGTGCGCGGCTTCGCCTGAGCTAAACTCTTAAAATATTTTAATATGGTCCGAAATTTCTCCCGCTCTCGCTCGTTGTCACGATAGGATATTTCGAGCTTCAACAACTTTTAGACGAGTTACTGGGTAGACGATGCAGTCTTTGCAGGAAGACAAGGCCGTGTCACCTCTCCGAAAGATACAACATTGAAACCCGGAATTATTGCCATCGATCACCGAATGTCCCCTTCTACTTTTGGTACATAGTTCTCATGACGGATGAGCTGACCAGACGACGAGTTGTTCTTCATTATTGATGGATAGCATCCGAGCAAGGAGAATATCGTTACCTTAATTCACAAAGGCCATAACCAAAATTTTTTTTCGAAACTACGTTTTTTACAGATTTTGGTAGGATATATTAAAATATACCTCCAATAAAAATTTTAAGGTTTTAGTACCAAAACCAACGCAGTTATGCCACTGCTGTAAAATAGAAAATTTGTTGGTTATGGCCTTTGTGAATTAAGGTAACGATATGCATATGTTGCAAAAAATTCTGGGACATCCTAATGTGCCTAAATGCAAATTTAAGCATATGTACTAAAATATGAAATACCTACTTTATTTTACAGGTTTCGTTATTGCCATCAGATTTATGTGGCCTTTGTTGATCATAAAATTGCTTGCCAACCTTGACATTGTTTTAGTTAATTTGCGCACAAACACATCTCTATGCTTTGCCAATGAAAAACTTAACTATTGGAGACCAGTTTTAAGCATAAATATTAGAATAACTAAAAGCCGTCTTAAACGATTTGTAACAAAGGCCTCTGCCATGGCGTTGAACGCAACTTTTTGATCTGCAATGCGCATTTGTAAACTACGAGTATATTCAACAAATGCGGCATTTATTTATTGGCGATCAATTAGCCAGCGTGCCATAGGATGACTTAAACCGAATACCGATCGTATGCTTTTGGTCGGATGTGTCTAATGACTGATTATTATTTCTTTGATGTACTCATCTTCTTTGGTCTCAGACTCCTCCAGACGGTTCACCGAATTCCTATCGGAGAGCAGAGTTTCTGAACATAAGCGCAGTTATCTCTTTCAAGGAATTCAAATAACAATTTTGATAGCCTTTTAAAATGCTTTGCTAGAAAAAGTTTCTTGAAAACATCTCCAAGCAATTTTCCCTTGACTATAAAGAAAAATATCCGAAAAATATTTATTTCCTTTTAAATCAAGTCAAATAAAATATAATCTTCACTTAACCGAAAAAAAATTGCAATCCGAATTCAGCGCTTGCGCAGACCCTAAACAGCCACAACAAAGTGTTTGTTTGTAACTATCGTGTTAACAACAACAATTTTACAACAGTTTTACAACGAATTCATGTAAATGTTTACATAAATTTAGTAAGCAATTTTCAACGGCATTTTTCGGCAAAACGCCAACAACGATGCGCCGATTTGTAAAGTGGCAGCCGTGCAGCAGAGCGGCCGGTGTTGCACCACATAGATATGTAATTGCAATTACTTGCCGCCATTCGCCTCGCTAGCGAATTAAATGCGATATGTATGTATGTGTGTATGTGGTTCGTGTAAATGTGGCGCCGCCATAGCTTTCCCACGCTTCTTGAATCGGTAGCTGCTGCGAGTATTTGTTAGCTGCTGTTTTTCGCTGTTATAATTATTCCACTTTTATCAGCGCTTTTTGTTGTGCTTTTGCTTCTTTTTCAGCACCGTTCAGCGCGCAACGCTACAACAACAAAATACTGCCTACATACAGCGTTAATGTTGGCTCTAAAATCTTAGTACAGGTACTCAGTAATGCTTTAAGCTAAAATGGAAGAAGAAACTAAGGAGGAAAGCCAACGGTTTTGCTGCTTTCTTTTCATCCTTTCTTTTTCTCTAACAGCACAGTTATTTAGTTATTGTTGGAACGTAGCCTGAAAGCTCGCCAATTTCAAACGCTGCTACTGGAAGTTGGGCGTAGACCTGAAGTGTTTGAGAATCTCTTGCAATGATTGACTATGTGAAAGATCGATGGTGCCCACACTAATAAAAGCACAAGCCCATATGTACCCTGCAGGGAAAGCTACTAGTTGTGAACTAGAATTCGACCAGTTTGCATTTCAGCCCAACCAGTTCACGTTCTATCCTTTTTCTTTGCACTGATTTTCCGCTGAATCGGAC